AAACAAGCAAGTGGGTAGGCCAATTCTAACTACTGCTGTTCTTGTTGAGATAACCACTTTTATTCATGATCATGATACTGTTATCAGCCCGTTCGTATTAAGAGCTTGTTTCGAAAATGCAATATTTTAAGCAAATTCCAAATTGACAAAAGTATGTAAGAGATTCAAGGGTTGTCATAGTTGATTCCAATAATTCGAGTTGTTGGGATAAGGTTATACTGGATCTTATACCACTTTCTAACACGTGGGCTTGAAGTTTGCACAGGCGATCACCATACCTTGTGCTTTAATCAACTGTTAATGTTGGGGTCGTGGAGATTCGAACACACGACCACTTGGCCAAACCAGCTCTGATACTATGTCATAAACTAGTTGGTCCCAATAACTCGAGTTGTTGGAAGAAGGTTATGTTGGATATTATACCACTCTCTAACAAGGTTTATAAGTATGAAACCTGCCTTAACCGACAAGACGCGTTTTGGAGTGAAATGGAGGAGTTCTTGTAAGAACTCTGAAGTTAAACGTGTTCACTGTAAAGTACTACAAGGATGAGTGACCTTATGGAAAGTGAGCCTCTCCGCGACCCTCTTGAACGGTAGTGGGGCAAACCTCAATGAGTATGTTGAATCACAAGGAGGGGGTGTATGTAACACCTTAGACGAATCTCACATCGACAAAGCACGAGAGAGATACATGGTTCATATCTTTCCATGGTTCATAAGTACGAAATCGGTCTTAACTGACAAGATGCGTTTTTCGGGTGAAATGAATGAGTTCTTGTAAGAACTCTGAAATTAAACGTGCTCACTGTGGAGTACTACAAGAATGGGTCTACAAGGATGGATAACTTTATGGGAAGTCGCCTTGAATTGCATCTCAACGCACAAATCGTAAGGGTCGAGGCTAAAAAACAGACAATATCTTATTGGGAAAAAGTTCAGGATGTTACACATTCTTTGAAATATCTTTTTCAAAAAATGTGTTTGAAAAAACGTGTAATTTTCTTCTCTCTAGTTTTCAAAATCATATCCCTCCTCATTCGTCATTGACTCATACGAGTATAGGTTTATTTGAGTTTTCAACTCTTAGATATATATTTTTTTTCTAGTCTACTTGTACATGGTGCATTTGTATCCTCCCTTGAGTCTCTTTTGTATAAATGGACTAATATTTCCCATCGAAAGAAAACATGTCTCATTAAACGAAAATCTACCATTTGGTTTAAAGTTTGCACAAGTCTATTAATATCATATCATGTGTTGATCTCATACACTTTATATTAGTACGAAATCGTCCACTTTGAATTAACCAAGTCAGTTCATATTTATTCTCACACCAATGGAACTAGGTGAACACTTACATACAATACAAGAAAACATTCCTCATAATTTTTCTCTCTGATGTTTCACTATAATTGTACCCCCAATATTCAAGAATTCGAGATTTTACAAAAGTGTTAATAATAGATCTTATATCAATATCGTGTCAAGTACTATGTAAATTTTAAACAAAAGGGAAAATAAAAACGAGTTTATTGCAAGGTTGGTCACTGAGATTATTAAAAACGTTCATGTTTGATCACTAAAAATATTTAATTCCGTTCGTAGTCACTAAAATTAATTAAAACATTCAAGTTTAGTTACTCTCCGATAACTTCCGTTAGTCTCCATTAACAGCGTTAGTTTTTTGCTGACGTGCCTAACAGAATAGCCTAATCAGCCTAATTTAACCCGAAAAAATTTAACCCGACCCGCCATGTCATCACAACCCGCCACATCATGAAAAATGAAACAAACTTTGACCCGTCCCAACCCTATCCCACCTAACCCACTCCCTTTTCTTCTCCACCTCCCGCTGAACAAAAGGTCGGCCACCGCCTGACCACAGGCGCGAGCCTATCGTCGTTCTCAGTCGAAAACTCTGTCTCTCTTCTCTTTCTATCCTCCGCCGATCTGCCCTTCCCTCCTATCTTCCTAGAATTTCAATCTGAAACCCTCTCCTAAATCAATCTCACTATTTCACCCTCTCCCTCACTGAAAACCCTAGAACAATAACCCACATAAAACTTCATCTTCGTTGCCTAAAGGCCGCCGCTTCAACCGCCTTCTCATCGTTCCTTCCTTGGAGACCAAATCCCCCAAAATTGCCACCTAGTTTGGAATCGTTGTTGGCCGAGTCTGGTCGTCGTCGACCGACCCGGCGCCTGCGACGAGGCCGACGGCTTGCCTCCTCCCCCTAGAGTCCATTGGAACCCTCGCCATCATCATTAATCCAGATGGAGGAGACCGATGAGAGGAAATCGGAACAGAGGAGGTATGCGATGAAGAGGATGAAGGGGTTTGTTCAAGCCCTGAAAAGCCTTTGTCTCCTTCTTCGTCTTCTCAAGAGAGAGAAGCAATTCTTCCTCTTTGGTTAGCCAATACTCACGGAGCAGCAAATCTCAACTCGCCCTCTAGTGCAGGAGGGAGGTTTTCACCATGGAACCAAAGCTATTTATCGGATGGTGGGGCCTAAAATCGCAAGGTCTTCATAGAGTTAGAGAATGATAATGTGGCAAGGTAACCTCAGGAAGTGTTTGTTGATTGACGGTGTACGTTTTTATCAGTTCCCGTAAGCAATTGTGTCGTTGTTCTCTGGGATGGCAGGGTTTGCATCCTCTATGCGTTCTTGAAGATTGGTTAAACTGGATCCAAGCCTCCCCTTTGATCACCTGCGCCGAAGGAAAGATGATACGGTGGGATGAAGATGACGATTGAGGACGACGGCGGAAGGAAGAGATCCAGAAACACTGTTTTGTTTTCTTTTGTTTTCTTTTAATTTAATTGTATTGTGTTGTTGTTTTAATGACGTGGCAAGTATTGATGACATGGTAGGTTGATTTAGGCTGATTAGGCTATTTTGTTAGCCACGTCATCAAAAAACTGACGTCGTTAACGGAGACTAACGGAAGTTAACGGAGAGTGACTAAACTTGAACGTTTTAATTAATTTTAGTGACTACGAACAAAATTAAATATTTTTAGTGACCAAACATGAATGTTTTTAGCAATCTCAGTGACGAACCTTGCAGTTGACCCAAATAAAAATTGAGGCAGGCAAGAAACTGTATCATTTACCCTTCAATTGCCACCAAATGCCAAAACCCTATCTCTTGATCTAGCAAGGATGCATCCACTTGCATGCAAATTGCCAACAGTTCGAAAATCGAAAGAAGCCTGTACTTTTTGCCTACAATCATCACCATGCATGGTACCCATGGCAAAGCACAACCACTAGTTGTCCCAATTTAGACAAACAATTCTCATCAACACACATAATTCGCCAGACAAGATTTGATTACCAACGTGGGAAGCCAGCCAGCACTTTGTTTGATTGAGATTGAGTGCATGAAAGAACGACTCATTCGATCGCAGAATGTTACAGTCAGTAAAATGTATGAAGTTTATAGATCCATATGAAAAATTATATAGGAATTGATGTCGAACATCTTACCATCTTGTCATCTTGATGTGTTTTACTTGTAATCAGTGGCGGATCCAGGGGTGGCCACCCCGGGCCCCGGCCCAGCCTTCCTCTGGATCCATAATTAGTATAGGCCTTATGAATTTTTCGATTTTAGATATTCGGGTTGTTGTTATTTTAAAATAAGATTGGGTATAATTAGAAAAATAATTCAGATGAACATATTCAAAATCACTACTCTAAATTTAGCTTATAAATTCTAACCCTAAAGGTTATTCGTCTAAAAAACAATGAAACCTAAAAATTCAAAAAGTTTAAAACGTAAAAGACTAAAACATATATGAGGTTTGTTACCTTGGAAAATTTACTAGAGCAGCTGGTGGATATAGGGATGGAAACACAATGCAAATTGATTAGTAGATTGATTTGTCTAGTGTTGATGATGCTCGTTTCAACAGCTAATACGAATAGAACCTTTTCAACAACGAAACATGTGAAAATTGATTTGCGCAACAAAATGAGCGATGGATTTCTAGTCGATTGCTCAAGTATTTTATTTGAAACAGTGTATACTATTGGTATGGATGTGGACTCCATTATTAATGCATTCGCTAAATTAAAATATCGTCATGTACAATTTACATTGTAAAAAAATTATAATCATTATATTTTTTTTACTATTCTAATTTTCTAATAAAATGCAGCCCAGTGCACTTCTGTGTTCTGGATCCGCCGCGGCTTGTAATCTTAAAATGTAACTCTAATTTAACATATAAAAGTTATGCCGTTAGTTACAATAATATGTTTCCATCGGGGACGAGTAATAAAATTAAAATATCAAATTTGATTTTAAACTCAACCATAGATTGTGACTTGTGAGTGTCCTACGTACACATGGAAACTGAATTTCGTGCCTTCATGGAATGTACATTGTGGTATGTCGATTCAATCAAAGCACGCAATCTTATATATTCTACCTAGGCTGCAAATGAGTTGAGCTGTTCGCAAGTAACTTGGCGTTCGAATCGAAAAAAGGTCATTTGAAACTCGGCTTGTTTACTAATGAGCCGAGCTTGAGTTCAGCCTTTTGCAGCTCGCAGAGCTCGTGAGTTAGCTCGACTCGGTGGCTTGTTGAGCTCAACTCGTGAGCTAGCTCGTTTAGAGTTCATGAGATGTCTCAACTCTCACATTGTGGCTAGCGAGCCAACTCGATTATCAAGTTATGAGCGAATCGATTTATATGAGTTTGATTTTGATAATTCATAGGATTGTTAAATTATATATCTCACCCTATATGAAGTTTAATACATAGATTATGTGAGCATATATATCTTATTTAATTATAATAAGCAATTATGTATCATTGATTGCTTCGATACTGTGAAATAACATTATTTTCACTAGTTAAAATTTATTAGCTAAATAATTTGATACCACAAAGTATAACATGAGATTCGTTAATATTCAGCACTTAACTTTTTTTTTCCATCTTGACATTAATCACATGTATCATGTATGACATACAAAATGAATTATCTTATACGAGTCAAGATTTTATTAACCAAATAAGCTCGAACTCGACTCGTTAATAAACGAGTCGAGCTCGAGCTCAACTCATTTATTAACGAGCCAAGCTCGAGTTGAGGTAAAACTCGGCTCATTTGCAACCCTAAATTTCAATCTCCTCGTGAAATTTGGACCACTTTCTATGGGTTTTTTTTCCTGACATTAGATTACTCGTGTTATCAAGAACAAAAAGATACACCGTTTTGATGCTAACAAATTGATCCTAACCAAGAACCAAACCAAAACCCACCAACATCTATGGATTTTAAAAAATGACTTTTTTTTTTTTTGCAACTAGATAGACACCACTGTCATTAACTCACCCTACAAACACCATAATGAAGTGACTGAACATCCAACGCAAGCCAAAGATCTCCTGGGATATGTCTCCTCCACGCCCATCTAAAATATCGTCATTACAAACCTCATAGAAAATTATCTGGACATCCTCAAAGAATGTGATCGAAGTCCATCTTCTATATGTACACCAACAAATTGCATCTCGCAGAGCTAACAATTTCACTAAGAAAGGATCCTCCATCCTTTATATGGTCACAACTCACAATCCATCATCCAAGCGACTCGTTATCTTTGTTTCTTCGTGGGTGTGTGGGGAAGAAACTAAACAATGAACTTCAACACTCTGTAGTAGAGAAATAATAATTTGTGAAAGAGAAGAGAAGAGAAGAGGGCCGGAAAGAGCCGGGTTTACAGGATCCTGTCGATTGAGAAAATCCTCCCAAAAGAAAAGAAACAAAGCTCCTTCCTTCATAGGTTAAAACAAAACACTGGAGATGGGATGAGGTGGGATCCAAAGCTTCCCTTTGTATTTTGTTCTCTTCTCTATGTTACTTATTTATTCTCCCCTTTTTTCTCTTTTATTAGTTTTGCCCTTCCATTGTATTTGTGACTAGGACACTACAAGGAATTGAATCATGCTTCAATAGACACAAGGTTGGTGGAATTTTTGGTTTCAATTCAGGCAGCACATATGAAGGCATACATCCACCTAGAAAAAACATACTACGCTCACATCACTATCTGTGAAGATGTCCTTGCAAAGTTTACAACCGTCGGATCACATGCTCCTATTTTTGTGGCCGTTAGATGTCATATCACCATTCATGGTGACGTCCTCACAAAGCTCATGGCCGCAAAAGCGTCCGACACAATATATGACGATTGTGGGTTTTGTGAGGACGTCTTTCATAGATGGTATGTGAACATTATATCTGGGTTGCAGCCATCCTTATCCTGATTCACTTTGCATTGGAATTCAAGTGACATAACACATAAGGTAGTTTTGTTGAGGATATGAGTTAGGAATAGGACTTAGGATTGATTGACCAATTTTGTCATTGCTTCGAACAAAACATACACTATAATTGGATCTTCGTACTAAAGAATAAAACGGCACATCATAAATGAAGAAGAAGAAAAAAGAGATATAGGGATTACATATACAAATGAAGTCAAACTATTTGAGAAGTAAAAGTTTGTATATAGTCATAGTTAATTACACTTAAAATGTGATTGAAATGAAGTAGGAAGAATATGAGTACATGTCTTGAATTATAATGATTCGAGAAGTAAATAAAATAGTTAAGGACGGAAAAACACATACTCTGCTCTATATTACGTGTACGTCAATATCAACACAAATCAGAATAAATGGATCAAACAGAAATTATCATCTCTCGTTCCATTTCATCGATTTTTGGTCTTTACACCCACTTTCTTAATCCTATTCCTAGTAGCCTCTTGCTCAATTCTTGATAGTAAGATATCTTAAAATAACATAAAAGAAGATTATAGAATAGAGGGAGAAAATAAAATATGGAGATATCATTATCAAATTTAATAGGTGTTTAGACTTTAGAAGAAAAAATCATTTAATATTATTAAAAAAAAAAAGGAACACACACTAACTAATTATAATCGTCTAAACCCTTCTTGGCCCATTGATAATGCTGAAGAAGCCTGTTGGCTTCTCTAATACCACTGAAGTAAGCTCCATGTGTTGTTGAGTAATGGGTTCTATGAGTTGCCTCCCCTGCAAACAGAATTTGCAGCATCTTCAATGATGAAGAAGCTGATGAACAACAATCCTCACCATCAACCTTCGGCAATGGCTCTGCCATTGCATCCATGTCATCTCCACTAGAACCAACTGCCACATAACTGTAAGAACCCAAGAACAGAGGGTCATTCCCCCATTTGCTCTTCAAAACCTTGCTGAATTTGACTCCACATCCTGAACCCACTTCCCCATTGCACTTCCCATTGATGGGTTTGGGCAGGAACCCCGAAATGGTGGCCGAAATGCCCTCGACGATCTCTTCATCGCTCAGAGACTCGATCTCGAGAGCTTCTTTCCCTGCAAACCATGCCAGCAGCACACTCGAGTTCTTGTGAATTGGGGTTAGAGAAGCTGTCCTCCTAATCCACCAAGGGATCCCCTGCATCCTCTGGCCCGAATCGGGCCGGTGAAACGCCATCCGTAGGAATGGGAACTTGCTTTCATTGCTCACCTGCAAGAACAGCTTGTTCACCACACCATACCCTAACCTGGAAATGGCATCGGTTTTGGAAAAGGGTAAGGGCGGGTCAAATAAACCCGAATCCGACCCGATTCCAGCTTTCAGTACCCCAAGGGAAACCGTGATGATAACATGATCTGCCGTCATAACCGATCCATCGGAGAAATGTAGCTTTACTGGCCTCGAATCGGAGATTCCATTCTCAACCAGTGACTGACTTTGCCCTTCAGCTCGCCACTGGATTTTCCTAACCTTCCTGTCTAATTGAATGACTCCAGGAGGCAGAACGGAGGCCAGGGATTCAATTACGGTTAGGTAACCTTTGGCAATGGTGATTTCCTCACCTGGGAACATTCTGTACTCTCTCTCGGCATTGAAATCCAGAGTTCTGAGGTCGCAGGCTGACGTGTCGTTCCTCTGGCAGTTCTCCATCATAGCGAAAATGGCTTCCTCGACCGATTTCCTGCTCTCGTCCTCATCTTTCGCCAAATCCCAGTACCCATTTAGCCCTTCCCGAAGAAAAGAACCCACGCTGAGGTTAGAAGCGGCGGCACTAGCAGCGTCGACGGCGATTCGGTGGAAATCGAGGCCGCCGCCGGTGTCGGTGTCGGCGGCAGAAGCAGGGGATTCGTCCAATTCGCCTCGAGCGTAATCCATCAAGCTGTCGAAGAGAGTGGAGACGGAGTCGACGATGTCGGGGCAAATCTGGGACCCACCTTCGACGACGGCGCGGCCTTCCTCTTCGACGAACCCATCCATCCACTCCCAGGGGCGGTCGGAGTGGAGAGAGCCGATTTCGCCGGCGATTCTGTGGACAGGACTCCCGTCAATGCCGTGGATCCACGTGGCGCCAATCTCAATCCGGTCGCCGCCGAACTCGGAGGAGTTGATCCTGCCGCCAATACGCCTGCCGCCTTCCACGACGCGGAGCTCGAACAAGCCGTCCCTGCCGGCGGCGGAAGTGTACAGCCTGTTGGCCGCCGTGAGGCCCGCCATTCCGGCTCCGATTATCACGATTCTCGGCTTCCTGGCCACCATTGGAAAAACCCAGTTCCCCTAATGGAGTCAAATGAAGGAAGGGAAGGGGAAAAGGAGAGGAATTTGAAGTGAGAATTTGAGGGTCTCGAGAGATGGCGGATTTATGAGGAGGGGATTTTGTGAAGGTTTGAGCTTTGGCTATATAGCTAGAAGAAGAAGATGATGAAGAAGCTAAGCCAAGTGGGAAGGTTGAAGCTTTTTTTTTCTCTCTTTTTCTTTTGTGTTCACTAACCAATTCTTTTTTGGGTTCCATAATTGATTCGTAGATGGTCTAATAAAGACAGGGCTCTACTTTTCTGCTGCTCTGCTCGTATTGAGTAAATGGCTGGCAGTAGCAGTAGCAGTAGCAGCAGCAGGGGAATCTTTCATGAACCATTTGGTAAAAAATTGAAGGGCTCTGCTCAAAACGATAAGAAAATGAAGAGGGCAGTAAAAAAAATACTTGTTGTATGCGTGAGTGGTTGTCAGAACTCAGAAATCAGGTGACTGACAGAAGATTGTAGTAAAAAGATGGATGAACTTATTATATAGGGTTTCATTGTTTGACTAAATTTTAAACATAGCTAAGGGGAGTAAGTATATATAGCTGTTGACTCATTGCCACATTTCATAAATAGATTCTTTCTTGGAATGGTGTTGATTACCCAAATTCCCAAAATCAATTTTGTTACAAAGAATCATGAAACATGTGTTGCTATATAAAAAATGTTGGATGTATCTACCAAGACAGGGCTAGAATCACTAGCCAGGGCTTTCGACGTGGTCGAAGTGTTACCAAAATCGTAACACAATGTTAGAACGAATCGAGAAATCGACAAGACAAGAAAATAAAAAACACACATATTTACTTGATTCGTTAACACAATGCGTTTTAGCTAATCTTAATCAAGTCTGGTAAAGAATAACCCATGTGATTCCATTCGATGACGGACAATCTGATTCAAGTCATATCAACATATTTCCACCTTGACTAGAATCCTCCCTCCAAATCCCAGATGCAGTCAAATCCTCTCTCTCCTGCCTCAACACCCCTAAGGGATTCAACTGCTTAGAACATTCAACAAGTTTAAGCAGTGTTGGAACTTTACATGTGGAACTAGCTTCATTAATATATCAGTAGGATTGTCGGCAGTGCCACCTTCTTCACCTTAATCATCTTCTATGTTCTCAAGAAAGGATACCTCACATCAATTGTTTAGTCCTCTCATGATGGACTTGATCCTTTTTCAAACATATTTCACTCAAACTATCACAAATCACGATAAACCACTGCCTGATCATGTTGTAAGCCTATATCACTAACCAACCCCTTCAACCATATTCCCTCCTTGACAACTTTTGTCATTGCCATGTACTCTGCCTTAGTACTAGACAAATTAACTATAGCTTGTAACATCGCCTTCTAGCTAACCACAAAACCTCCAAGAGTGAATACTTAACCAGTCATAGATCTCCCCCGTGTCAATATCTTTAGCGTAATAAGAATATTAATAACTAGCCACTAAACACTCTGTATCACTTCCAAAATTGATCGCCACTTCTTATGTACCTTAAAGGTACTGAAATTCCTCTTCACAAATTGCCAATGTTCTTTGTTAGGTTGCACCATGAACCTGCTCAACGTATAGGATGAGATATATAATTTAACAATCATACGACTTAAGCTCTACCTACATCTTTGGTCTATCAGAAGGCGGTGTGCTTGATTGTCAAATGGCTTGTGGCGCACGGAAAGATCAGCAGAGCTTAAGGGCTTCATTGGCTGAGGCCCAGCTTGAGGAGTAGTCTTTTGCCGTGAATTGCTTTTTCTTGGGGCTGCTTGGGTTCCGGGCTTCTGATGGCTGTTGCTGGCTGGATCTGCGCTGGTTGCGTTGGCTGTCTGGTGCTCTCCCATCGTTGGTTTTTTTTACCTTTCTTTTGCTCCTGTGCTTCGTTTAGTTTCTTTCATCTCTTCTCTTTTTCGGTTTTTTCCTCTATTTTGAGGGCAGGGGCTTCCTAGCTCGCCTAGCTCCTCTTGGCGCTCGCACCTCTTGTGTTGGCTATTTTTTTTCCCTTGTTGTTGTGTCCGTTCGTTTGTTTGGACGCGTTCGTTGGTTATTAATGCAGTAATCACCATTATAAAAAAAAAGATATAGTTGGACATATAGGACGAGTTATTGGGAGCAACTGGTTTATGACATGGTATCAGAGCTGGTTTGTCCTTGAGGTCACGTGTTCAAGTCCTCACGACCCCCAATATTAACCGATGTCTTCAAGCACATGGTATGGCAGGCCTTTGCAAACTTCAAGCTTATGAGTCTGCTTTCGTTTGAGGGGGCGTGTAAGGAAGTGGTTAAGTACCATACATGGACCTCCACCAACAACTCCAGTTATTGGGACCAGTTTGTTTATGACAGCTCTGATACCGTTGGTTTATGACATGGTATCATAGTTTGGTTTGTCCTTGAGTTAACGTGTTCAAGTCCTCACAACCCCCCAATAATAACCGTTGTCTTTAAAGCACATGGTATGACGGGTCTGTGCAAACTTAGCTTCAAGCCCATGAGTTGCCTTTCGTTTGAGGGGGCGTGTAAGGAAGTGGTTAAGTACCATACATTGGCCTCTCCCAACAACTCAAGTTATTGGGACAAGTTGGTTTATGACATGGTATCAGATGCCCATGTCATAAACTCGTTTGGCACCATGAAACGTCAGGTATATACACGGTGAAGTAAGGATATCACCTTGCAGCAGATCTGTGGACGTGAGTTATCCAAGGAAGCTAGAGTAAGGGTTTGGGATCCGGGACCGTGGAATAAAATTTGGAATGCGCCGATCCCTCCTAAGCTAAGATTCTTCCTTTGGCAGATGATGTGGCACGTCTTGCCTACTCGGGAGGGTCTTACCACCAGGAAGGTGCCGGGGTGGAGGTTTGTCCGATCTGCAATAAAGTTGAGGAGACGATGGAACACCTTTTCTTCCTAACTAATTTATTTGGTATTGATATTTCCATTTATTCGACATATGAACCAGTTTGACAACCTTGCTCTCTAGTCCAACATTAGAGAGCATGCACCTTGCTATCTCCAGCAATGTATGTTTCATTTATTGTGCCACTCCTGTACATGGGCAACGGGTCGTGTCGCCCACAGGCTAGCACGGCACGACATGGTTAGAGCACGGTACAAGCACGGGCACGAAATAAATCGGCCAGTCCGGCACGAGCACGAATAATTTATGGGTCGTGCCAGGCCTAAACTTTATGGCACGGGCACGAGCACGGGCACGAGCACGGGCACGAGCACGGTATATAAGTGGGCCGTGTCGGGCCTAATATTTCTGAGACTTTATTGAGTATAAGAACAGACATGGCAAGAAAATAAATATAAAAAGAATTATAGGTTCAAATATTAGAAAACACAAGTAGAAAAATAATTATTTGTTGTTGTTAGAAGTGTCGTAAAGATATATACGTAATTACTAACATAAGTAAAAATGGACAAAGAATTAAACAAAACCAAATCACACTCGCTATATTTCCAATTTTCTTTTTCCCCTTATTTGTTACTTTTCTCAAACATTATTGGTTAATACTATCTTCCTCTGTCCAATTTTCACCTTCTTTTTCATTCTCTCTTTTGTTTTTATCCTTTTCATTAAGCACGAATATGAGCATGGCACGAGCACGAATAAGCACGGCACGATTCAAACTGTGCCCGGGCCTGGGCCGGGCCTAGCAAAGTTAACAAATGGGCTTGCATGGCACGACACGAAAACTGACGGGTCGTGCCAAGCACGGCACGAAATAAATGAGCATGAAGCGTGCCCGTGTCGTGTCGGCCCAAGCACGGCCCATCGCCCATGTACAGCCACTCCATTATGTTCTGGGGTATCTCTAATAGTCCGGTGAGGGCAATCCCTTCATCATTGCATAACTCGTTGAACTTAATACTATAGAACTCTAGACCATTGTTTTGTACGAAGCCTCTTGATCTTCTTTCTGGTTTGATTTGCCACCAAGGCCTTCCATTGTTTGAAGTTCTTGAAAGCTTCATTTTTATGCTTCATTATGAATATCCAAGTAAACCTTGAGGAGTCATCGTTAATAGATAAAAAAAATACATGATGCCTCCAATTGATTCAATTCGAAAAGGACCCCAATAGTCCCATCATCCCCTTTGTTTGGCAAATACCTTCTTAGGAAATGTACTGTGATGTAGCTTCCCAAATACACAATGTTCGCAGAATGCAAGCCCTGCACCTTGTGCCGCAAAAAAAAATGTCTTTCTTCGACAAAATTTACATTCCTCTTTCACTCATATGACCAAATCTCATGTGTCAAAGAGTGATCATATCTTCATTATGAACCTCGGATGATGCAATAAGAAAAGAAACTGACAACACAGAACATTGCAGTGCATACTCTTGATAGTTTGTATGTTTGGTTTTGGTCTCACATGCATAACAATTTTTGCCTGATTTGACTTTCAATTTGGTTTGATCCCTAAAAACAAATAAACTAGCGAAAAAAATTGAAAATTGACCAGATTGAATAAAGTCAAATGCACTGTTGATTTAAATCCTAATCCTAAAACTACTTTGAGTTCACTCCAACCCTATACCAGTATTTATTTGACTCGGATCAGATCAGACACTGTATATTACCCACTGTTTAAGCTACACATATAAAACTCTTCTTGTGTATGTATTAATGGCTGATCAATCCCTTTAACGAAGATTTTGTCCCAATAATTTATTCATGAGATCACAAGTTTGTACTTTTCATCTAAATCTTCATGAAAGTAAGTGCTGATACGTATGCATCATGACTATCTTATTAAAAGAAAAAAAGAAGATTCATGGCTCTAATGACTAATGAGGGTGGAGCGGTTAATGGATCAAGTCGAGTCTAGTGTTGTCTTGTTTATGTTTTGCTAGTTAATATACAAGTCGATTTAGAGTTTGGTTCATTTATAAACGAGTTGAGCCGAGTCAAATTCGGGCTGACTCATTTATTAAAACCTACTTGACTAATCATTAAGATCACGAGATCGGCTCAACCTCAGATCTATGATAATTTAAAAATTAAAAACCCTAATATTTATATCTCATATATGATACGAGATCGGTTACGATATGAGACATATTTGCTCACGTACTCAAAATCTTAAACATATGATTAACTCTAATATTTATATCAAAAAGCCAACTCATAAGATATAGATTCATTTTCTTGTAAGCCAGTAGTCGAGTTAGGCTCACTAATTACAATGTTGAGACATCTCATGAGCTCAAAACAAGAGAGTTTGGTAGGGTGCCATTGCATCTATTATCAAAACAAGAGAGTTCACGAGTTGAGCTCAACAAACCACCTAGTCAACCAGCTGGTTCAAGAGCTGAACAAGGTTTAGCACAATCTCGATTTGTTACTAAACAAGTCGAACTTTTTCTTAATTAAACGTGTTTTTATCAAGTCAAATTCGAGTCGTTCATGAGCGGTTTGGTTCCTAATCGAAAGAAAAATATATACAAAGGAACAGTAGCATTGGAGATATTTATGGAAAGCTTGAATCGTAATTACAACTCTATACTTGTGTTGTAAAAAGAAAACAAAGCCTCTGGCGGATCCAGAACACAATAGTGCACTGGGCCGAATTTCATTAGAAATTAGATACCGTAAAAAGGATAATGATTTTATATTTTTTTACAATGTCAATTGTTCACGATGGTGTTTTAATTTAGCGAATGCATCAATAATGGAGTCTACATCCATGCCAATAGTATGCTTTGTTTCAAATAAAATATTTGAGAAACCGGCGAGTAATTCATCGCTCATTTTGTTGCGCTAATTAGTTTTCACATGTTTCATTGTTGATAAGGTTCTCGCCGTAGTAGCTGTTGAAACGGACAGCGTCAATACTAATTCAATCGACTAATCAATTTCCATTGTGTGTCCATCCCTATATCCAACAACTGCTCTAGTAAATTTTCAATGGAATAAATCTCATATTTCTTTTATTAGTCTTTTACGCATTTGACTTTTAAAATTTCAGGTCCGTTGTTTTTGTTTAGACGAAAAATCTTTAGGGCTAGAATTTAGAAGCTAAATTTAGAGTAGTTATTTGAATATGTTCATATGAATTATTTTTCTAGTTACACACAATCTTATTATAAAATAACACTGAACCGAATGTCTAAAATCGAAAAATTCATAAGGGCTATACTAACTTTGGATCCAGAGGAGGGCTAGGCCGGGACCTGGGTTGGCCACCCCCTGGATCCGCCAATGGGTGTTTCTAGGAAGAAAGAAAACCCTGCAATTAGTGGCGGATCCAGAATTTTTTTGTAGGGGTGTTCTCTTCTAAAAATTAAATTAAATAATACATAAATAATAAAAATATCCAATTAGTACAAATGTTGAAAAAAAGCCACGATGTATTTTTCATATTTCGAAAAAAATATAAGATAGATTTGGTGTCTACACTGTTCAACAAATCGGTATATCCTACTAGATCGTATATTCAATTTCTAACATTATTCATGATGTAATTCAAAGTTAAAAAGACTATTTCAACACTTACGGTGTAACCATAAAATCAATTCAAATTAGTGGTACCCCTAGGGATAAGAAATCGCATTTTTACCATTACATAGTGTTTAAAATAGAACGACAAATGAGTTATTACCTAATGGAGAAGATGTTTAATAATAGGAGTGTCCTAGATGTAAATAACACAAAATACCACTTATATTTTTTTTAATCATATGCAAACTACTATCGAGGGTTAGATAATTGTTTATTAAAATTTTAGGGGTGTCCCGGATTACCAATTATATTTTGTTTATCCATACAAAACTACTACTGAGAGTTGGATAATCGTGTTCCCAAAATTTAGGGGTGTACCGGGACACCCCTAAAGCACCATGTATCCGCCACTGCCTGCAATGCAGAAAACTGAGGAGTTTGAATAATTGATTCAGTTCGATTTGAGTAGAGGGGTTTGGTTATAATGAACGCTGGATAAGTGGGAGAAATGGGAAGGCCACCGGGGAATCCAGCGACGGCGGGAGAAAGGAAGAAGATGCTTAGCTTTACCAACCACCGTAACCCGCCACCGCGGCAGGAGGAGGACGATGACCGAGGAAATAACTTGGCGAAACCCGCGCGAAAACGAGAAAACCCGCGTACCTGAAACGCCGAAACGCAATACGTTTCGAACCACAAAAACACGCGGTAAATTTAAAGGAATTGACGATACGTCTCCCGCGATATAGTAAAACATATCGACTTTCGTGCGAAATATTGACTCCGAGCTTAATAGGCCAGCGGAAAAAAATTGAAATGCTGCTTCGGTGCTTCCTTCCGACTCACTTTGCTCCGATCAGGCTCCGGCGTTTGCTTCTTCTACTGAGAAACATCTGTCGGCGGTACGTGGATTTAGCGGATTGAATTGACATGCCAAATTTTCACTAGATATGCTTGCCGTTTGATTTCCTGTTTCTGTTAAATCAGACGTAAGGTCGCAGCTTTGCCAAGTCACGAAGATATGGTAGTGGCATTGCTGCGTCCGCTGCAAACAGCGAGCGCCACTCGCTTCACGGCTCCATTCCCGCCGCCGCAGCCGCACAGAGCGCCGCCGCAATCGGCGTGGCGGACGAAATCGAAACCGAGGACTTTCTCAATTCGCTCCTCCGCGGAAGCCCCAACTTCACCTTCACCCGCTTCTTCCTCCTCCGGCGCGCTGCAGGCTACGGAGATTAAGGAAAGATGCTTGAAATGGAGGTGGAAGGGCCAGTACACGATCAACTACTTCGTCGCCCAGTCTCCCGCCCGGTCACCGCCGCTTCTCCTAGTTCACGGCTTCGGCGCCTCGATTCCTCACTGGCGCAGGTGCCTGTCTGAAGCCCTTCTTTATTTCACCCTCTTATCCAAATGATGAAATTGCAAATTGCAGCCACCCGTCTGAATTGCAGGAATATCGAGACATTGGCGAAGAATCGGGCCGTCTACGCCATTGATCTTCTAGGGTTTGGCGAGTCTGATAAGCCGGAAGGATTTTCTTACACCATGGAAACTTGGGCTGAGGTAATTTTTAGTTCTTTAGCTAAGTTGTTTGCTACCCTATCCATGGGTCTTTATCCGCGTCTAATTCCATTTCCCCCCTGCGGCGGCGCAGTTGATTCTGGATTTCTTGGATGAAGTAGTTCAGAAGCCGACGGTCCTAATTGGGAACTCTGTGGGAAGTCTTGCTTGTGTAATTGCTGCTTCTGGTATTGAATAACCTTGACCAGCAGTTTCTAGCTTTGAGCATTTCTGTGGGTCATTTGTGTAATAGTTCTTTACTGAATTCTTGATTTTTTCTGCATTGAAGAATCCTCTCGAGCTCTGGTATGCGGGCTGGTTCTGCTGAACTGTGCTGGTGGAATGAACAACAAGGCCGTTGTCGATGATTGGAGGATCAGGCTGTTGCTTCCTTTGCTGTGGTTCTTCGACTTCCTGCTGAATCAACGGCCCATCGCTTCAGCCCTCTTCGAACGCGTAAAACAAAGGTAATCGTAGTACCATGAACTAGTCTATTGTCTAGCATTGCAATACCTTGTTCTTATTTGATATGAACATTGAGTTGACTAATGAGGCTCTCAGTTTTGTATCAAGAACACCTGTACTAAAGTTCCAGGACAACTCCATTTTCGTGCAGGGATACGCTTAGGAATGTCTTGTCGTCTGTTTATGGGAACAAGGATTCCGTAGATGATGAACTGGTGGAGGTAATAACACAGTTTCTTCTCTTTTTACACCGTTCCTTCTTCATCCTTTTCTTTCTGGTAAAGCACAGCCAGTAATTCGGTGGGGTTGGCATTCATTTGATCAGATCATTAGAGGGCCTGCCTGCGACGAAGGGGCGCTGGATGCATTCGTCTCGATAGTAACAGGGCCACCAGGGCCGAACCCAGTGACCTTAATGCCGAAGATAGCACAGCCTGTTCTGATATTATGGGGCGACGAGGATCCTTTCACTCCTCTTGATGGTCCTGTGGGTAAGTACTTCTCATCGCTGCCCTCGGAATCGTCCAATGTAAAGCTCTGCGTGCTGGAAGGAGTCGGACACTGCCCTCATGATGACAGGCCTGAATTGGTTCATCAGAATCTACTTCCATGGCTGGATCAGCTTGTTGTTACCCAATAACATGACTTGTTCATATTTCATTTTACGCTGTAAATTCATACTGACGCTGTATGTACTATAATGCATTGTATATTCTTGTATTCTACGACCAATAATACATCGTACCATTTTGCTCAATGTTGTTGGGCTGGGCTGCATCACATGATTGGGCTAATGAAGCAAAGCCCATCTAAGCGGACGCTGTTTCAGACAAGTATACTCCGACGGAGTTTTGAGCCATTAACGTCATTCCTTGTTCCGGCAAATTACGTGATGGCATTGGCGGCCCAGTTCGCCCCTAAATCGGTTCTTCTTCTCCGGCGAGTGCGACTCCGAGGGGCGAACTCCAAGCGCTGTTTGGAACCACCATCTGCATCTCAGTTTTCTTCTTCTACTGGTTTCCTCCACTGCTGCAATGGTGGTCATTATCCCAAATTTATGTCCTTGAGAATCCATTCATCAGCGCCGATTCTCACGCCAGCAAGGAATGATCGGAGTTATCCTTCAGGTTTACGCCGGTTCTGCTTCAATTACCGTTCTGCTACGACTGGTAGTAGTAACACCGCCGGCAATGAGAATGGCGAGGAGAGGAGCGGGAAGTCGTATCTGGAATTGACCGACGAAGAACTGATGCGACAGTGCGAGATGGCTACTTATAAGGCATCCGGCCCCGGCGGTCAGCACCGGAACAAGCGCGAGTCCGCCGTCCGTCTCAAGCACTTACCTACTGGCATTATCGCTCAGGTTACTTCAGGGACCCGTTTTTTATTTTTTTTTTCCTCTCATTTTCCTGCCTTCTTTTTCGGGTTTTAACTGTGAATGCCGGGGTGCACGCCAACTGTTTGTTGTAATGTCTTTGCAGGCTGTTGAGGATCGATCTCAGCACAAGAATCGTGCTTCAGCTTTGAAGCGGCTACGTACGCTGCTGGCTCTCAAAGGTAAATGAAACTTCTATACTTACCGCCACACTGCAGACTAGTAGCACGAATTGCTGAGTTGCATTTCCATAGTCGTGCTTGATTGTTTGTCATTCTTGAGCTAGTGAGAAACGCTGTGGAACTTGATGGATATTCACCTCCGCCGGAGCTTCTTCAAATTCTTCCTTCCAAGTCCACCATCAAAACCCCGGTTTCTGGTTCTCAAATTGGCCCCAATAATCCTAAATTCGCTATGGTACCTATACTGCTTGCGTCTTTTGGTTATTCAATAAAATTTCTTCCTTCAAAACTGGCGTTTCTGTTTGCTTTTGTTAAGCATTCTTGTGTTTAGGGAATGCAAGCTCTCCTGGACCTTATAGTCGCTGTTGAGGGTTCTGTATCTGAAGCTGCAAAACTGCTTGGGTATGATTTTGCCATCTGAGCTTTCTTTGTTTGCGTTTAGTTTTTGTCCTCTTAAGGTTCTGCGCAGCAAGATGTGCTCTTTTTGCACTGTTTTGGACATTCACATCCTGCTTTGTTCTTAGCCATAACAACTAAGCTCATATTAGTTAGGTTTTTTTCTGCACAATTCAAATGCTCGTGGACTAAACTGCTTACTCTTTCAGGTTAAGCACAGGTGCATTATCGCGATTAATACTCTCAGATGACTCGCTTCGTCTGGCTGTGAATGAGTTCCGGAATTCCAAGGTACCATAACATTGATCATTGCTAGAATGGGGTCAAGTAGCTCCTACTGAAATGAGTTCTTCTTAAATACAAATTGGATTCAATTGTGAATATTTCCTTAACTGTAATATCTGTTTGCCTCCCTTGACTAACCTTTCTTGTGGAGATTTGTTGATTCACATTTTATTGATTACTTCCTGATTCTTGAACTTGGAGGGAACCTATGACCGGAAGCAACTGAAAATTTGTTCCATATGGGAGCCTTCCAGGGAAGGGAATAGGGGAGATGAACATGTATAAATTTCTTCCGAATATTATTGCCTGGAAATGTTACGAGCCTGAAGTACAGAGTCTTTTCCCCGTTGTGTGCATTCTTCTGTTTGTTGGAACTTGGAAGTGCTCTTTCAAGCAACCGTGATGTCTTCTAAAAGAGAGTAGCTTAAGAGTAGGATAAAATAGATCAGAAAGAGATAAAACGAGAACATGAGAGAAAGGCAAAAAATGAGGCCGGAGTGAACATTTGTTATAGAGAAAATTTTACACCTTTGGTTTCATCTCCACTGCTGCGTCCCTTCATCCCATGATTGAATAGTGTTAATTCACATGGCAGGAATAGTGTTTCCCATTTGACTTTAGAATGGAAATCCTTCTAGCCTCTATGTACTCTCTCATATCCTATGGGACATTTGCTTGCAGGGCATGAAGCCTCTGAAGTAGGACGAAGCAGATTCCATGGCGCAGCCATTTTCGGAGCCCATTCGTTACACAAATAATGCATATTCGAGGTAATTACAACCAACCTATGTAGATGCAAGTGTAAATCTGAAGCTGATGTCCGATCGTATAATTTCGAAAGAAGCTCTCAGATGATAGAATGTTCAAACAGCTGTGTTGCATATGATCTGGCACGTAGTCTTGAGTTTATGCGAGCAGCACTGAAGTTTTATTTTGTCGCTATTTCTTACATCTGTAATGTCCGACCTCACAACCTGCAAAGAAGCAACTCTTTACTTTCATGGGAATCACAGCAGTGGCCGGCTCTTAACATATAGATGTCCAACAGCCACAAACATCCTCTCGAGATCATCTCGATCTCGGCCATTGGTCCGTGGAGCCTGCCATTAAAAACACATTCAAAACTCAAGAATCTAGAGTATTGATATGGAATATTATACATCGGATATGATGGATTTCTGTGGACAGACTCTCCGCTTGTTCTTCGTTCTATCGACTTTGAGTTATTAGTATGATTGTTGCTTTGTTGCATTCTCTATAGTGAACATAGGAATGTTAAGATGAGAGGGTTCGTGAATCGTGACCATGTACGAAGTCCATTGAGGATTATAGCTTATTTTGGGTGTGTTTTTTCTTCCTCTTTTTCTCTGTCAAATGGATTGAAAAGGAAAGTGTTGCAAGTAGAAAGGCAGGAGGGGAACTGGGGAATGTGGAGTTAATAAAAGGGGGAAAAGGGTCAAAAGTTGTACGAATATATAGATTTGGATTTGGGGGATTTATAGCGAATAGAGAAGCGGTTTGGTGCAGCCGCATATGTTCCCAGAGAATGAGGTTCTTTTTCTCTCTTTGTTCCCTCCCTCCACCACCACCTGAGAAGAAGAACCTATCTGTTGCCTCCCTTCAGTTGACTTTCTTTTTCTTAGCAATGTATTCATTTCTATCCACAATCCAAAAGTCAGAAAGGAACCTCACTCTAAAGTCAACTTGTATGGAACCTGGGTTTTTATGTTTGAGCCACCTGAATAATCTTTTATATCCGTTTGACGAAGTATTTGTCCAACCTTGTGTTGGTGTGGTAATTTGGTGTGGTGTGACGTAGTTCGGATAAAATCGAGCAAGCAGTAGATGGGTTGTGGTATGAGGTAAGTTATAAGAATGTCTTGATAAGCAATTTGTGATCTCTTATTATAGTGTCTATAAGTGGCAGCCTTCATGCCACATTTTTAGAAAATCTGTAAAAACTTATGTATGAAATTGATCTATCGTTTGACAAATGTAATAGTGAGAACGGATTGTTTCTAATCGAGAGTACAATTCCTAGGTTACGGATGAGTTTTCAGAATCGTTCTTATCTTAATGAAGAAATATTCAAAATCTTAAATCCTTAATCATCGGGGTCAAAACTTCACCAATCATCACTCCTTTTCCTTTCTCTTCTTCTCCGATAAAAGGCAAGGCAAATCCTAGCCTGAAATTCCAATCTCAGCTTCAGGATTTCCATGTAGATTATTGAAAGAAACAGATTAAAAATAAAAAAAAATCATCCTGGTAATATTCCAATTGCCATTCTATTCCCACTCCACTCCATCTATTCTCCTCCAATTGCCATTCTCTGATCATACATAAATGCCCACTTCCCTTCCATTTCCAACCCAGCCATAGCTAGTAGAGCTTCTATTCCTCCGCCACCTTTCTGCTACGTACGTACCAAAACGTCGGACACACAATCACCCTATCGAGCCATGATGGGCGTCGTCGATCTGTCGGACAAGCTCCGGCTCGCTCTGGGCACGGTGAAGGACCGCGCGTCCATAGGCAAGGCCAGGATGGTCCACAAGTCGGCCGAAGGGAGGGGCTTCTCCCACCTCGAGATCGCGGTGGTTCGAGCCACGGGCCACCACCACGCCTCCAACGTCGACGACAAGCATATGCACGAGATCCTCTTCCTCGCCACCAACTCCCCCGGTTCCATCCCCTTTCTCGCGGAGCGCATCTCCCGGCGCCTCGCCAAGACGAGGGACAGGCTCGTCGCGCTCAAGACCCTGCTCCTCGTCCACCGCCTCCTCAGGGGAGGCAACCGGTACTTCGAGCACCAGCTGCGGATGGCCCACGCGTCGGGCCACCTGCAGCTGGCCGCCCCGTGGTTCGCCAAGAACCCGGCGGACCATTCGGTCTACTTCCTCCACAAGTACTCTGCCTACTTGGAGGAGAGGATCGGTTGGGTCATCAACCAGGCGGGGAAGCTCGAGCCCCTGGTCATGAACCAGGGGCTCGAGTTCGGGTCCTACGACGAGAAGTCGGTGGACCTGGTGTTCCGCAGGCTGCCCAAGTGCCAGGCGTTCATGGACAGGGTGCTGGAGTCCTGCTGCCCTTTCGCCCACTTGCCCTGTTTCAACACTCTGTACCGCGCCGCCATGACCAACACGCTGAAGGAGAGCTTCCAGGTCTACGCCACGTACTGCGAGTGCGTGGCGGCGCTGATGAACATGTTCTTCGACCTGACCGCCGGCGCGAGGGCCCTGGCGTGCAGGATACTGAGGAGGGCCTCGATGCAGAGTGGGGTTTTGCAGCTGATGTACGATACGTGCGAGAAGGTGATCGGGAACAAGAATTTGGAGTACCCCGTGGTGCAGATCATGACGTTGGAACATGTCGCGGCGCTCGAGCAGGTCGATCTCGAGGCCGGTTCGAGTTCCCCGCCGCCGGTGTTGGGGGATGGAGTGAAGGATGTTGGTGTTGTTCGCGGCGACGAGGATGATGGGGATGGTGATTTGGAGGTTGGGGATAGCAGTGGTGATTTTGGTGCATTGTTTTCTTGGAAGAGTAGTTTGGAGACGAAGATCAGCACGGTGTGGGTAGTGTTTGAAGATGAATTTAGTAGATGATAATGATATATACAGTTATACTTTCTATATTTGCTATTATGCAATATGTATTTGATTTTGATAGAAACCCCAGACCCAGAAGGGTTGTTCTTTGTTGTTTGTGCATGTTTCGGATGAAAGATTGACACGAGAAATTTTTTGGGAAGTTCTGTAAATGTGTAGAGTAGGTTAATAATTAGGATGATTGTCATTTCAGGTACTTTGGTTTCTCATTTTTGTTGGTTGGGCTGTTGGGGGAATTCTTTGTTATGTTCCAATTGTTATGTTCCAATTATGGGAGGGGATTTGGTACAAAACTTTAGATATGAAAATTTTACAAAACCACCATATCGAGGTGTTTATCAGCCAGTGATTTGAACGTGAAACAAATTGATAAACCGAGTGACAAAACGTGTCATTTGGTCAAACAAATACAGCGGTAACAACAATGTAAATATAAGAAACCATGGATTGTATAAATGCAAAATAGATAGGTTGCCAAATAATCCCATATCGTACCCCGACGGCAAATGGGTTCACCCTCACATTAAGCTTAAGCAGCACATAATTGGATCTCTGATGCTGAAGAACATTTACTTTACCAAAGCGAAACCCTTCTTGAACAGGTCCATTTGCCCAAGACCATCTGAAATGCTCATCCTCCAAATCGGAGTTCCTTGAACTGCTGCAACAATAAACATAATGATCAGATCTTCCCTTTGTTTGGATGGCAATGAACCAAACAGGAACAAGAAATCAGATACAACAGAAGACAATTAACATCAAGGCTCTAGCTAGGCTGCCCCTATCACAGATCAAACCCACAAGCACCAAACAATTCCTTGCTGCAAAATGAAGGCAAGGCAACATAATGGAGGAACAATGCTTGCTAAAGATCCAAACATAGTAAGCATCACATAACACCAAAGTTCATATCTTGCCTTATTAAGGAATATCCCGTTACAGGGTCCCAGCAAGGAACTGCACCGAATTCTGGTTCCAACAAAACTAAGCTCGCTGTGTAATCAGCAGCATAAGCTGCTCCCCGGTTTCGTAGCCCCATACCTGGCAACCCAAGTCGCTCAATTTCATGGGTTTTGCAATCATAGAGGCACAGCTCGTCATCCTCCCCAAGCTCCAAACTTCCTGTCAAATCATCCTCCCAGTTCAACTCCAGCAAAACCTTTTCATCCCGCCACAGCCCGACAACAACTTGATGGGAGTATTGAACTCGAGCTATGCTACAAAATCTTACCCAACTATCCTCAGCGGAACCAAGACCTTTCTTCACCAGAATCTCATAGGAACTGGCAGTACGATACATGACTGTAAGCAAACCTGTGACCTTGGTCTCCGAGATGGAAATGCGCCTTGGTTCCCCTGCCCCTGGCAATTCCTTGGGCAACTCAATCCTGCTGAACCTCTCGTCATCCACATGGAAAGCCAGAATGTAGTTCAATTTCGATCCGACCCTAGCAGGCCAATAGATTGTCCCGTCTACAAAACACTGACACCAATTCCGACGAACATGGCAAGACTTCAGCGCTCGCTCGGCGTCATCAACTCCCCTCCAGCAGCGCTCTTTCAGAGTGTAAACCTCTGCTCTACGCGGAGGCTCGGCCGATCGAGAGTAGACGATTCGGACCACCTTATAATCATCCCTCATCGAATCATAGCCAAATCCCAACACGACGAACAGGTAATTCACATTCTCTGGATCGCCCGTGCTTTCGAGATAAAGCTGATCACCCATGTTTCCGTAAGTGAGCGTCGGCCTCGGGAGCTCGATGAAGCGCCGGAGCAACGGATTCCACACGTAGATGATGTAAGCGTAGGTCTTGTAGTTGTCGCAGAGGCAGATCAGTCCGTGTAAGGATCCGAAGACACGAAGGCGCCTGGGATCGTCGGAGTTGGGCCTGAATGGGGAAAAGATGTCGATGGAGGAAGAAGTAGATAAAAGCTCTGGGTGGGAATATAGAGAGAACTCTTCCTCAATCTCGCCGCTGCAGATTGCATAGCCGCAGCGCCTCAGAAGGAGGGAAGGGCGGTTGCTGCTGGCATTGGAACGGCGGTGGTGGGATACGAAGTCGGAGCTTCTGATCAGCGAATTCAAGTACTTGCATACGGCGGTGCATCTCAGTATCGTAATCACCGGGAGAGGTCCTAGAATCTGGAACAAGATTTCGCCGGGCAAGTCCTCCAAACCAGGAGCGGCCAAACGATTTTTCTTCATTGCCCGGCGTCGGGGAAGTGTGTGATCAAACCAACACGAAAACTTACTTCAATGGTAGAAACCCTAGCATTGAGTTGAGATTACTCGACGAAGCAACAAGGTTAAAGTTAGCTTGCAATTAGTCGTTTAGAGCTTGCAATTATATACGGATTATAGGATTTATGCTATTATTTAAATTCAACATCCAAACGTCTATCATTGAATTCAATAAATAATATCAACATCTAAATATTTATATTTAAAAAAAAAATTTAGTTAATTTCACCAAAATGAAGTCATATTATTTAGGATCCAAAAATTATAATTTCGGTTGAATCACTCTTTTCCATTTTTTACCATATTATCAATGGGTTTCTAGCTGGTTTTGTCCAATACAGGTTAAACTTTGGATTTTTGAGGATTGGTCAATTTTGGGTTTTAATTTGGGGTAGGTCAGATCATGGGTTAATGGGTTGGGTCACATTGGTCAGATTTTTATGATGTGGCAAGCTTTAATGACGTGGCAGGATTGGATTTATTTTATTTTTGTCAAAAATAGGTGACTAGGTGAGTCTGTTAGCCACGTCAGCAAATAATTGACGGTGTTAATGGAGACTGACGGAAGGTAACGGAGAGTGACCAAACTTGAACCATTTAACTAATTTGAGTGACCAAGATTGGATTTAAATATTTCTAATGATCAAACATGAACGCTTTTTATAATTTCAGTGACCAACCATGCAATTAACCCTTAAAATTATATTTATGTTTAAAATATGACAACTATTCCTTGGGAGAACAAATCAAGTGTACATTTTGGAAGATTTTCATTTAATTCAATTATAAATGTATTCCAACTATTCCTTGGGAGTTCAATTCATTTGTACAGATTTGAATATAACATTCCAAACATGGTAATTCATTTTCAAATAAATTTCGCGCAGAAAATGAATTGTTGATTCATTTAGCCAAACATGAAACAAATTAATAAACCGAATGACTAATACGTGATTTAGTCCAACAAATACCACAAACAACAAACTTCCTGACAAATCACCCTCCCTCATCAACCCCAGTAAAACCTTTTCATCCCTCCACAGGCCAACAACAACTTGACGAGAGTACCGAACTCGAGCTATGCTGCAGAATCTTACCCAACTATCCTCAGCGGAACCAAGACCTTTCTTCACCAGAATCTCATAGGAACTGGCAGTACGATACATGACTGTAAGCAAACCTGTGACCTTGGTCTCCGAGATGGAAATGCGCTTTGGTTCCCCTGCCTCTGGCAATTCCTTGGGCAATTCAATCCTGGTGAACCTCTCGTCACTCACATGGAAAGCCAGAATGTAGTTCAATTTCGATCCGACCTTAGCAGGCCAATAGATTGTCCCGTCTACAAAACACTGAGACCATATCTCAGGCACATCGCAAGACTTCAGCACTCGCTCGGCATAATCAATTCCCCTCCAACATCGCTCTTTCAGAGTGTAAACCTCTGCTCGCGGCGGCGGCTTAGCCGATTGAGGGTAGACGATTCGGACCACCTTATAATCATCCCTCCTAGAATCATACCCAAATCCCAACACGACGAACAGATAATTAACATTCTCTAGATCACGCCTCCGAGGTCGCTCACCTGTGCTTTCGAGATAAAGCCGATTACCCATGTTTCTGTAGGTGAGCGTTGGCCTCGGGAGCTCGATGAAGCGCTGGAGCAACGGATTCCACACGTAGATGATGTAAGCGTAGATCTTGTAGTTGTCGCAGAGGCAGATCAGTCCGTTTAAGGATCCGAAGACACGAAGGCGCCTGGGATCGTCGGAGTTGGCCCTGAATGGGGATGAGATTTCGATGGAGGAAGAAGAAGATAAACGGCCTGGGTCGGGATAAAGAGTGAATTCTTCCTCAATCTCGCCGCTGTCGGGTGCTTCGCCGCAGCGCCTGAGGAGGAGGGAAGGGCGGTTGCTGGCATTGGAACGGCGGTGGTGGGATACGAAGTCGGAGCTTCTGATCAGCGAATTCCAGTCTTTGCATACGGCGGTGCATCTTAGTATCGAAACCACCGGGAGAGGTCCGAGAATCTGAAACAGGATTTCTCTGGGTAAGTCCTCCAAACCAGGAGCGGCCAAATGATTTTTCTTCATTGCCCAGAGTCGGGGAAATGTGTGATCAAACCAACCCGAAAACTTACTTCAATGGTAGAAAGTAGAAACCCTAGCATTGAGATTACTGGAGGGTTGAAGTTAGCTTGCAATTTGACTCTGTGGTGGTGGCGTGGAGGGGTAACATTGACCTTTACAATACAGGTTACGTTTTTTTTATTAAAGAGACAGGTTGCAATTATATACGTATCTTTCACAAAAAAATTATGTACGGATTTGGGAGGAGTTACTGTGCTAATTATACAAGAGTTAGCACCGTCCTAACCAAGGGTTAGTAGTGATTTAGTTTAGATGTTGTATTGATTTTATAATAATCCGTAGTGATTTCGTTGTTTTTAGTAGCGTTTTTTGCTAGTTATCACGGTACCTAACCCTTATAAGGGTTAGCACCTATTCCCATCCCAAGGATTTATGCTCATTTAACGAAATATAAGGAAAGTTGAAAATTATCACCTAAAGAATTATGCATATAGAATTTATTTGTAATTTAAATTAATTTTTAAATAAAGTTACTACATTAAAAATAATATGACAAATCATCTTATTTAAATACACATTTAAAGTCTACACTTGAATTCAATAAATAACATCAATATCTAAATGTTTATATATTAATAAAAAATCCATTTTTTTTTTGTTAATTCCACTAAAATAGAGTTAGCTCCACCGCAAATAGATTTGGCCACATAAATTGGATAGAATTTTCCGTCGTTTCTAAGGTGATATTTTTCATACCATATGATATGTTGTTATTTAATACCAGTCAATACCGTATGAAATAGACCGGTAATAACCGACAAATTTTTTTGTTCCAAAAAATATCAAAGTGGATATCATTTTGTAGAGCACAATTAATTTGATATAAATATACAAAAAAAAATAAATTCCGAGTGAGAAATCATCTATTAAATATTAAAAGAAGGAAAATTAAAAAAAAATTGAGAAGAGAGAATGAGGAATTGAGTTATGATAAGATATCTGCTCACGGGATTACGGAATACTTTCTTTCCCATAAAATTGCATTCAATGATCCTCTTGCTAAATTGGCACGCTTCGATCGATGAGATAGGCAGACGTGTCCTTTTCCCAAGGTTGCATGGCCAATCCAAAATGGAACCGAACTTTTACATCTAGAGCTGTAGGTGCCAACCAAACCATGCATTCTCCTCGCGATCTTCGCCATTTTTCCTGCTGTAGTCAAACTGCCCTTGGTGAACAAAGACGTTTAAGCTTCCCTCCCAAAAGCCTCGCTCGCTCTATATATATACTTCTTCCACTCACCATGCATGCATCGGTAATTAACGCAATCAGCAGATCGATTGAAAACCCATGATGCCATCGTCATCGAAATACAGTCCTCTCCCGCTTCTTCCCTTCCTTCTCCTCCTCCTCCTCCTCTGCCAACTCGCCTCAATCTCCATCGCCGCCCTACCGTTCACCGAACTCAACTCTGTCTCCGACCTCTGGCGGGATCCATTCTGCGCCACCAAGCATGCGCCGTTTGTGGCCACTTGCCACGCCAGGGTGGACTGGAAGGAGACCCCGACGGGACACGTCTTCAGCTTGGACGTCCCCGGCATTGAGGGGGAGGAGCTGAAGATCGAGGTGGAGGAGAACTGGGTGCTGAGGGTCAGGTGGAGGGAGTTTTGGAGGCTGTTCAGCATTCCAGAGAATGCCGACCTCAACTCCGCCAAGGCCGCCAGGATCAAGAACGGGGAGATCATCGTCACATTCGCCAAGATGTCTCCCGACAAGATAGAAGGACCCAAGAGTACTGTGAATAATCGCGGTGGGAGAGATTTGGCGGCGGCGCTGAACTATAAGGCCGAGCAGGAGCTGTGATGATGATTCACCTGGGCTTGAACTTCGAGCTACCATCATATTCATTTTGTTCTGATCTGTTCTCCTGTTCTGTTCTTTCTGTCTTTCCCCTCCGATTTCTGTTGTTACTTGGAAGCTGAGAGTTTTGGACGTGTTTGTGTTGGATTGAGCAAAGTTCCAAAACCCCCAACAGCATCACAAAGTTGCTGATAAGTGATAACTCGCAATGAACATTTCATTGCTTACTGCGGAGTGCGGAGAAACTCACACATTGCTAGAGACCAAAACTTCCTTACGACATGGAGGGGAAGGATGAGGGAGACCAATCTGTTGTTCTGGCTTCTCAATATGTTGAGCCAAATAACATAATAACAGAGTAGAGTACCAACCAACACCACCCCAAATTGGAATGAACATAATGGAAGAACAATTCTGCTAAGTTCCAACTATAGCAAAACATCAGACAACACCAAGTTCATATCTTGCGATAAGTTGGGTCCCCTTTTCAGGGTCTCTGTAAGAAACTGTACGGAATTCTGGTTCCAGTAAATTTAAGCTCTCTGCATAATCCCCAGCAGAGGATGTGGCTTGATGTCCACTACATGGCAACCCAAGGCGCTCAATTTCTCGAGTTTTGCAATCGTAGAAATGTTGCAGTACTGTAAACAAGCCCGTGACCTTGGCCCCAGAAATTCAGAAGAGGCTTGAGCACCGAGCAGATCCTTGGGCAAACTCATGTCTGCTGAAACTCTCATCATTCACACAAAAACCAAAATACAGTTCGATTTGGATTGGCCCTTATCAGCAGGCCGCCATATTGTCCCCTATGAGACCAAGGCTGAGGAACATAGCAAGACTCCAGCACTTCCTCGACATGAAGCCTACCTCCAACGACGCTCTTTTCAGAGCGTAAACTTCTGCTTGCCCCCTTGCATAAGTGCAACAAGTGGAGACGAATCTGACCAGTTTATAATCATTGTTCCTGGGATCAAAACCAAATTCCAAAACATTGTTACATGACACATTAGATCAATAGTACAGTTGTATCCGAGCCCCCATCCTTCGTTTGAAATGGAGAGGAATACAATCACTCAGGTTGATGAAGAGTCTGACCGACAGATTTCGCACCAAGAAGTCATAAGCATAAGCATTATAGTGGTCGGAGAGGCAAATCATTCCATGTAGCAACTTGAAGACACGAAGTGCCAGGGATCACGGGAGCGACACATGAATGGGGATGAGATGACTATTGAAGAAGAAGCTGAAGCAGCTAATTGTCCAATCAATCAAAGATATGTTCCCCGACGCCACATGGGTTCACCATCACATAAAGCTTAAACAACATATACTTGATCTCTGATGCTGAGGAGCATTTAGTTTAAACCGAAGTGGAATCCCATTTGCACAGGGTCATTCGCTTAAGAGACCATCTCGCATGCTCATCCTCCAAATCAAAGTTCACTGACCTGATTCAACAATAAATATAGGTGATAAGATTTTCCGGTTTTGGATGGAAATGAACCAAGCAGAAGGTAGAAATCAGAATATCAGATACAACAGAAGACATTCAACACTAGGCTCTAGCTAGGCCACTCAATCACAGAACCAGAAGCACCAATATCATAAAGGTGCTAAGTGCTAACAAGTCATGATGAACATGTGATTTGCTCACCGCCAAAAACAGAAAGACCAAGACTACCTTGCTGCTAAAAGAAGGCAAACTAACATTTGGAAGAACAATTCAGCCAAAATCCAAACATAGTAAACATAGGATAACACGCCAAGTTCATATCTTGCCTTATTACGGGTCCTGTTTTGGATTCTCTGTAAGAAACTGCACCGAATTCTGGTTCCAGTAAAACTAAACTCTCTGTGTAATCAGCAGCATAAGATGCACCTCGGCCTCGGAACCCAGTACCTGGCAACCCTAGGCGCTCGATTTCTTGGGTTTTGCAATCATAGAGACACAGTTCAGCTTCCTCCCCAAGCCCCATTAACCCTGTCAAATCACCCGCCTTGTCCTTCTGCAACAAAACCTTTTCATCTCGACATAGCCCAATAACCTTGTCTCGAGTCGGATCAACAATGCTTACACTGCAGAATCTTACCCAACTATCCTCCACAGCACCGCCCCCTTTCATCAGCAACACCTCACAAGAAGTAGCAGTATGATAGAGGACTGTAAGCAAACCTTTGACCTTGGTTTCTGAAATTGAAACGAGCCTTGATTCCCCAGCCCCGGGCAATTCCTTGGGCAGCTCAATCCTACTGAATCCCTCATCATTCACATCAAAAGCCAAAATGTAATTCGATTTGCATCCGACCATTGCAGGCCAATAAATTGTCCCGTCTACAAAACACTGAGTCCACAGCCGAGGAACATCGCAGGATCGCAGCAGTTCCTCGGCGTGAAGAACTTCCCTCCAACGACGCTCTTTCAGAGCGTAAACCTCAGCTCGCCGCGGACACGTAGTGGGTTGCGGAGGATAGACGATTCTGACCACTTTATAGTCATTTCTCCTGCAATCGTACCCAAATCCCAACACGGCAAACAAATTGTTAACACGCTTTAGATAACCCCGTCGCATTCGACTGACCGTCGTCTCGGGGCGAATCCGATTACCCATGTTTCTGAAAGTGAGAGTCGGCGAAGGGAGGTCGATGAAGCGCCGGAGCGACGGATTCCACACGTAGATTATGTAACCGTAGGTACGATAGTTGTCGCAGAGGCAGATCAATCCGTGTAAGGATCCGAAGACGCGAAGGGAGGTGGGATCGTGGGAGCGAGGCGTGAATGGGGATGAGATGGCCGTGGAGGAAGAAGATGATAAACGATCTGGGTCGGAATAAAGAGTAAAACTTTCCTCAATCTCGCCGCCGGTGGAGGGTGCTTCTCCGCAGCGCCTTAGGAGGAGGGAAGGTTGTTGGTTGTTGGGATTGGAAGAACGGTGATGGTATACGAATGCAGAGTTTCTGATCAGTGAGTTCCAATCTTTGCATACGGCGGCGCATCTCAGAATTGAAATCACTGGAAGACGGACTAGAATCTGGTTCAAAATTTCTCCGGGCAGGTCCCCCAATCCAACAGCGGCTGCGTGATTTTTCTTCATTTCTCTGCTGTCGGGCTCCCCCAAACTCGCCTCAAATGGTTGAAACTAGGACTGATTGAGAGAGGTAATGAGCAAGATTGACTTTCCCATGTAGATATAAGTAGGGCTGCAAACGAGTCAAGTCGTATGCGAGCAACTTGACGTTTAAATCATAAAAAATCGTTCGATACTCGATTTGTTAGTTAACAAGCAGTTTTGGGAGCTGACTCGTTAGTAAACGAGCTAAACTTGAGCTAGACAATGCTCAGTTTGATAAGCTCGTAAGCTAGTTTGACTCGGTGGCTTGTTGAGCTAAGCTCACGAGCTGGCTTGTTTAGAGCTCGTAAAAAGATTAATTACTCTTCTGAACATCAACATTATCTTGTTAATACGGATGTGTATAAAAGTTAGGGGTCGTTTGGAAGTTGCGAATGTTAAATCGTTAAAAGTTAGGGGTCGTTTGGAAGTTGCGAATGTTAAATCGTTGCGTTGTAATGAATCACCATAATATAAATGCATGTATTGATACAATAGATGCATTTTAACAATACATTGTTTGGTTGTTGAGATTCTACTTTATGCATTGATTTAAATAAAGTTACTTTTATGGAAAAATGTCACATTTATCCTCAACTTTTAGAATCAGACAAAAACTATTGGGGGTATAAATGAAAAGAAAAGGTGACACAAATCTAAAACCAACAATCACAACAATCTCAACTTTTAGTTGAGATTGTATAATGCATCATTTTTTGTTATTGTTGGTGGGGCCTACCTAAAATAATGCATGCATTGCACTTCCAACCATTGTATTGTGCACAATATATGTATTCAACAAATACAACTCTAACAATCACAACTTCCAAACGAACCCTTAGTTGTTATTTTTAGATTCTAGTGTTTTTTTAATCATTTAAATTCTTATTTGTACACATTTTTCAGCAAGAATGATTTAGATCGAGCACATTTTGAGTCGAGCTTGTACTCTACTTGACAAGCTGTATTAATGAGCATTTACCTACCGAGTCGAGTTCTAGCTGGATTATTTTCAATCGAGCCGAGCTCGAATTGTATTATGATATTATCAAAATTCGAGTTTGAGCTGAAACATTTACAAATGAACCGAGCTCAATCTAAACAAAAATTCAACTCAACTCGATTCATTTGCTGCCATATATATAACTGTTGCGCTAGAACCACAGGGCAAGGAATGGCATGATTCTTGCCTGTTTGCAATTGCGGTTGACTTGGCCATTCATGTTTGATTGTGAATGTTGTTAATGTGGTGGTACAACTACAGAGAAGGAATTAAGGTTGTTTAACTTATGACCTTCGTCACTCCCATTACAAAATAGATCAATTAAGATATTTATCATAACCAACTAAAGTTAATAAAATTAAAAAAAAAGTTTGCGTCTAAAGTTAATAAGTTTTACAATTTATGTCTGCCTTAGACTTTTTTATAAAAAAAAATTATGGATATTCATAACAATCAAGTGAGAGGTTGTAAGATAACTTTTAGTACAAGAGAGTTGTGTCATTCTTAATATGATATATATATGGGGAGTTCTACGGTACCCAGGGTGAAATCCGGGGTACCGCATACTTTGAGTAAGAAAACGCTATCTAGAACTTGAATTGACTGATGTTTCGGACATGATACTATACTCTAACCCTTAAAGATCAAAATCTAGGTCTTAATTCTCTAAATCTTCTACCCCAAGATCAATTTAATTAGAAACAATAATTGACGGTTATGATTCGTCCAAATATAGAGGGAAAAATCAATGCACCATCTTAGGGTTTATAGTTTACGATTTAGATAATTAGGACCTAGGGTTCACTCATTAAGGGTTAGGGTATAATATCATGCCCAAAAATCCTGCTAATTCGAGATCTAGATAGCATTTTCATACTCAAGGTATGCGGTACCCCGGATTTCACCCGGGGTACCATAGAAGACACCATAGAAGACACCATTCAGCTTAATGACTACTTAAATAAATAGTCATTAAGCTTCAATTATCGAGCTATATTTAATCGTATTTTGAAATTCATGGATACTTCATACTCGTAATTAGTTTAGTGGAAAGACTATTCTTTTTTTCTATACATCGATGCCATGCATGCACCTATCATTCATTCAAGATTAAACGTCGTACGTGGAATGACTTTCATTTCCATCAAATTAATCAATGTGCTATTTATCCAACCAATACGTTGGGCTAATACAAATGATTTATGGTCAATTAGGTCGCTTGAAATTCCCTCTCTCTATATATAAATTACCACGTCCATGTAACTTGGAATATGCATCCACCGAGTCTGGATCCTGTGACTAAGGGTGCTTGGTCACTAAACCCCTCCCAGCTCTTAAATCTAGACACAATAATTTGACGGTTAAAAAGCGGGAAAAGCAATTTAATTAATGATAAGGGTATTATGGAAAATTATGAAATATACAAACCAGACTTACAATCAGTACAAACCATACAAACAGTGGCGGATCCAGGGGTGGCCACCCTGTTAGTAAACGGTATATGATCCACGATTAAACTTCTCCCAATAACTAGAGTTACTGGGACCAACTGGTTCTTGACATGGTATCAGAGCCTTCTGTGACCGTGAGGTCTTCTGTTCGATTCCCAGTAGCCCCCATCTGTTTCTGTTAAGCACACGGTGTCCGGATATGTGCCTGTCCAAACTTCAAGCCCTTGTGAGTGGCTTTCGTTTGAGGGGGCGTGTTAGTGTTGTGGTATATGATCCAAGATTGTTGGGACCAACTGGTTCTTGACACACCCCGGGCCACGGCCCAGCCCTTCCCTGGATTCAGAGCTAGTATAGTCCTTATGAGTTTATCGATTTTAGCCATTAGACCCAGTGTTATTTTATAATAAAATTGTGTGTCAATAGGAAGAGGGTAAGATGAACATATTCAAATTACAACTCTAAATTTAGCCTAAAAATTCTAGCTCCAATGATTCTCATCTAAAGAAAAACAAACAATGAAACCTAAAATTCTAAAACGTAAAAGACCAAAAGAAATATGAGATTTATTCCCTTAAAAAATTACTAGAATAGCTGGTGAAAATAGGAATTGATACACAATATATATTTGATCAGTCGATTGATTTGTCCAGTGTTGACATTGCTCGTTTCAACAACTACTATGGAGAGAACCTTTTCAACAATGAAATAGGTGAAAAATTATTTGCGCATAAAAATGAGCGATAAATTTCTCGCCAATTGGTTAACTATTTTATTTTAAAAGAGTATGTTATATTAAAATTTAAACGCCAATTGGATAAATTTCTCGCCAATTGGTAAACTCCATTATTGATGAATTCACTATATTAAAATTTAAAAGATCTACGTGTACAATTGATATTGTAAAAAAAACTGTAAATTTTTTACGGTATCTAATTTTCTAATGAAATGCGGCCTAGTGCTCTACTGTGTCCTGGATCCGCCGCTGCATACAAACATACGAAGTGTACAAACTACAAAGACAAAACATACAAACAAATTTACAAACATTACAGACATATGAACTTTACAAACAATACAAACTAGACCGACAAACAATACAAACATTACAAAAAAAAACAACCGGGTTGACTTTGGAGGCTCCATCCCTATATAGAGGGCTCTGTCCCAAAGTCAACTCGGTTGTTTTTTTTACATACAAACATTACAAACATGGTGGACACAAATGACAAACTAGACCGACAATCCATATAAACTAGAAAAGCACTCGGGTTGACTTTGGAAACTTCATCTCTATATAGAGGAGTTCCATCCAAAAGTCAACCAGGTTATTTTTTAGACATAAAAAACATTACTAACATGGTTGACAAAAATAATAAAGATGGTGCACAAAAATAACAAAGTTTACAAACATTACAAAAGAAACCGACAAACATTATAGAATAACAAAGCTTACAAACATTACAAAATAAACCAACAAACAGTACAAAACATCACTAAAAAAATGACAAAGAAGAATGATAAACAAATCGATACAAATATTACAAAATACGTCAACAAACATCACAAATCTAGCACTGACGTTGGGAAATCCTTCTCCGTCAGAAAATCTCTCTCTCTCTCTCAAAAATTCACAGCCGCCAAGTTGAGGAAAATTCCCCCCAGTGTATTCTCGGGCGCCAAGTTGGGGAAACTCCCCCAGTATATTCCCAGCCCGCCAAGTTGGGAAAAATCCACCGCATCGGAGCTGGCAACGGTAGGGAGGAACGCCGAAAAATCACTAGCCGCCAAGTTGGGGAAAATTCCCCCGGACCGGAGCTGGGCAACGACTGTGAGGAACGCCGGAAAATCCCTAGAGCCTGAAATACCTGAAAGAGGAAGTACAATACCTATCTGTAGCCGACTTCAAGTCGAAGGAATAAGAGGTCTAACTCCCAACTAGCTTTGGCTTGACTAATGGTAGGTCAAGACGAGCATGAATGGACGTCAGGATGAGCGTAAATTCTCTACTTTTCTTGGTACATGCGCTTGGAAGTGCATGCAAACTGAAATCTTAGAGAACCTTGATCCTATTGATCAGAAAGAGCTCGGGCGAGAAGGTGCGGGGTTAGAAGAGTTCAGCCGGCAGCGACGATGTGCGGAAAATTCCAATAAATGGACGGCGGGGGAGGAATACGTAGCAACATTATTTTTTTATTTCCATTTCCAAATAAATAAATTGTATAATTACTAGCATGCTCTTCATTAAATTGGATTAATTGGAGCCATTGGATTTTAATGAGATGCAAGGGCTGAGATTCATTTAGTCATGTGACTAAGGGACCTCCCTTCCCCCCTTAGTAACCTAATCTTAGCCCTGCATCCACCGTAGAGAAGCGCATTCTCTCCTTCCGGGAAATTAAATTATGTCGACGCCATTGCCATCCAAATCTCGCGCTCCTTCCCCTCTTCTCTCCTTTCTACTTCTGCTCCACCTTCTCTGCCACCTGGCTCCCACATCCATCGCGTCCTTCCTTTCCAATGTATGGCAGGACCCAGTCAGAGAGGAAGTGCGTGGAGACGACAGAGGACGACAGGTGTTTGAACTTAGAATATACTAGGCGGTTATGGGGTTCTGATCTGGACTCTCTCGTCCGATCTCCTCGGGAGTGGAAGAACCTGTGAGGTGGGGGCGGCCCCCGTAATCTACGCTCGGACGCCCAAGTTAGTATGATATAGGAGAGGGTATATGGTGTTTAGAGAGATAGAGTAGAGAGAGAAACCTTAGGGGAAAGTCAGGAAGGGAAGAGGAGGATCCTTCGGCTTGGAGGCTTTGGCCTCCTTATATAGGGCTTGGGCCCGGGATGCCTTGCGGTGGGTTTGGGCCCGTTTATAGTCGTGTAGACATATTAATACATATCCCAACAGCAGGGAGCGCTGGCACCAAGCGCATCGTTCGTACGGCTAGTTCTGGATGCAGTTCAGCATCCCGGAGAATGCCAACCTTGGCAATTTGACGGCCGTGGTGAAGGATGGGGTTCTTACGGTTGCGATCTCGAAGTGGCCTCGCGATGAGAGTGAGCAGCCAAGGACGGTGGAGATTGCGGGCGGCGATTCGGCGGAGTATGAGATCAAGCGGGAGGAGCTGTGATGATGATAGGAAGAAGCTAAGATAGATTCTCTGACTAGAAATCTAGAATACAGTATTGTACTCTCCTTTTCCATTTTCTTCATCTCAGATTTATTAATTAGCAAACTGCTCTGGTTTGTTTTCTCTGTTTTGAGAACGTGATCCGACGTTGAAATAGATAAATTGGCGGTACACAGTTTAATGGTAAAGAATGGTTGATTAATTATTTGTACAAATGGTTGATATCCTCTAAAATATAAAACATTATACATCAACTTCTTTACTTTTTTGTATTGTTGACTTCTAAATTTTCTCTGACAATACACTAATCTGACTCAATAATTCCAGGTTCATATCATCAAACAGTCTCACATAAAAAATCATAAAAAAAATGTATCAAATTCATATTATAAATTAAGATAATAATGGATAATAGATCACATAGATTCGAAAAGAGAAAACACAAAACAAACCATTGATGATTAAAAATAGTGTGCCAGTGGACTAGTCAACCCACATTCATCTCATTTAATGCCGTATAAAAAATAAATATGATATTCAACGGATAAAAAACCCCATTTGATTCATCTGATTTTCATCTGTAAAGCAAAAACCTTCACTGCTAATCGCGAAACACAACAAAGCCCGGCCCAGCCCCGTCTTCCTCCAAGTTGAAGCCCAACCCATTATGGAAACATGAGCTTCGTTCATACAACAAGACAAATGGATGACCAGAAGTTCCTGGCCAGCAAACCACGGCCCGTCACTGTAGTTAACATCTGGAAGCCGTGAGAGAGGTCTGGACTCTGGAGTAAGAACCCAGGAAGGAAAGCGCAGCAATTAGAAGTTTCGCCATTTTTCCAATCCTAATCATCACCTTCACCCTTAGCTAGAACGTTCAAGAAGTACTACTCCCTCCAAAAACCCTCTCTATATAATCTCCACCGGACTCCCGCCCATCCACCAGATCGCCGGAAAACACTCAGTAAACAGAGTAAGCTCAGTCGAACGCAAGCCAAAAAGACAAAAGAAAAGAATGCCACGTCATCTAAATCTCCTGCTTCTTCTTCTCCTCACCTTCCACGTCATCCATTCCACTACCACCACCACCGCCGCGGCGTCCCTCCTCCCGTTCCTCGACCCGCCGCCGCTGCCCGCCGACCTCTGGCGCGACCCGTTCCGCATCCTGGAGCACGCCCCTTTCTCCCTCGAGCGGGACGACGTGTCCCCTCTCGCGGCGGCAGCCACGTCACATGCCAGGGTGGACTGGAAGGAGACCCCCGAGGGACACGTCATCAGCCTCGACGTCCCCGGGATGCGGAAGGAGGACGTGAAAATCGAGGTGGAGGAGAATCGTGTCCTCAGAGTGAGCGGCGAGAGGAAGCGCGAGGAGGAAAAGAAGGGGGACCACTGGCATCGAGTGGAGCGGTCGTACGGGAAATTCTGGAGGCAGTTCAGGCTGCCGGAGAATGCTGACCTGGATTCGGTCCATGCGAGGCTGGAGAACGGTGTGCTCACCGTTTCTTTCGCGAAGCTGTCACCGGACAGGATTAAGGGGCCCAGGACGGTGAGTATTGCTGGCGGAGAGTCGGCGGCGGCGGCGGTGAAGGATGAGGCGGCAGCCAAGCAGGAGCTGTGATGGTGATTGGTGTGAAGAGATATAGATTTGATGACATACCATATTGTACTTTGCTTCAATTTCCTTTTCTTTTTGTTGTTCGTCATCGGCCCCGTTTTCTCTCAATCTGTGTGTGTGTTGTATTGTGAACTTGTGGCGGGCTTCGGCACGCTGGAGCTCCGACCAAACTTTGTGTCAATCATAATTGCCTTGTGATCTCCCTCCCGACGGGCTCATGCCTCATGCTCTGTTCCTGATCATCAATCTTAGGAGTTATAGCTAGTCTCTGACAAATCCCCTGAATTCTCCGTAGTTTCACAACATACCATACCATTCCAAAACGTTCCATTTCAGTACTCAATCCCTAAACTTAACCAACTCCTCGCCCCTTTGAAGCCTCAAACCACTCAAATTCCCACAAGCTCAATCTAAAATCAAGACCGAATCGGGACATGAACCGGAGCAAGATCGGACTGTATCCAATCCAATGTTTGGTCATTATATTCTCGAAAAAACCGGACTGGAATCGAATCAATTCGGGCCAATTTAACCTAATCGGACCATATAGTCACCCCTAGTTCATATTCCATGACTAGCATTCTAATCCTAGTGTGTTTAACTTCGAGATGTACCTTCATATGTGGTCTCCAAGGTGTCCTAGATTTTCTTTGTGATTTTGCACATTGCTAATTTGCCCTACTCTTCTCTTACAAGAACACATTTAAGAAAATGCTTGGCTTTGACATTGATTTGTAAACTTACAAGATCTTTTTTCTGGCCAACTTTCGATATTCTTCTCAAATCGGTTCGATCCTCTTTTGATATTGATCCAGACCTTCTGTCATAGGCTTGTAAGAAATATTTCATGTAAACTTTCCAAAAGGTATAGTAGGTGTTGTCATCGAGCTTTGGTGGCCGTGTTGCACACTGTCCTTCAACTTGCGTGGTTTGAGGCAGATGAGACTCATCGTTGTGGTTGTTGAGCTTGTAGCTTCCATCCCTGGATCTTGTTCCTCGTGAGAGACCTGTTCTGATACGAATTGTTGAACATATGTAGCTCACAAATTATCTTGTAGTTACAATAAATGAAATACGATTAGTTATCAGCCGCGATCTTCTAGACTTGTGGGTTGGTCTTGACCTGTTGTTAGAGAGCTAAGAGTTTTATAAGATGGACTTTGGCCCTTATATGATCTCCTTCAATCTTAGACCAACAAGGTACCGGTTGAGAAACAACATAAGATAATGGAGAATAAAAAGTGTAACCCGTGCACTAGCTTGCTATAGTTAGAATTAGTTTTTCATATTGTTAGTTGGTTAGATTAGTGGAATAAACCCTTCCACCTTAAGTGGAGATAGAGTAGTAGTCGTACGTGGAGTTAGTTCCACTTGGATAGGTATATTCCATTTCCTTTATGTATTTAATTTCCAACATGAATGAATAATAGGTAGCCAATTTCAGAAAACAATAAATCCCTGACCATTCTCGCCAAGAAAGGAGAAACCTGGTCTACTCCCGTCAAGAAAAGGGAGTTATCCAAATTCAATACGGATCACCATCATTTGCCCGCTGCTCATTAAGGCAAGATTCCTCCTTGCCTCCCTTTGCTGCCCCCTGCCCAGTTCAATTGGTTCATTAAGATTTGAAATAATAGACTCATTCGATTCTCAGTTTCGTCCATTCGGGACATTCCAGATCGACCAATTTCAGACTCACAATGGCTCAAATCAAGTGCTCTACTCGACCGCTTAGCTCTAACCCGAATCCTCTACCCGGGTTGAGTGGGCGTAGGCCCACTCCTCCACTTTCCGCCTATCTCTGGTGTGCAACCCACTCTTAATCTTCAAACTCAAGTCCATGTCAAATTTCATAGAATTTACTTGGGTGGGGCATTAATCGAATCGATCCTAAACCAAATCAATCGAACATGATCAAACAAAAAATAAATGAAAAATGAGGATGAGAACCGAACAAAAAATTGTTATGTCCACTTTTTTATATTTAAAATAATTCTTACAATCGAAATCAGATCAAACTATATCCACTCCCATTCAATTCAATCACAAATATTAAATCGATACAATTCGTTGCTATGTCTATCAGATTGTTTCCCATCCTGCATGAGAACAATACTTTTTCCTTCGTACAAATCATTGGGTTTTCTCAAATTTACTAGCGTGGCCCCGGCCATTTGCCCGGAGGAAGGTGATGTATGAAATTTGATAATGTAATGGGTTGTATAGCTTATTGTTGTATAGTTTTTTTTCGGGAAACACGTGGTAAAAATAGTGAATTTTAGTAGGAAAGATACATGAATGATGTAACGAATCAAAAATCAGCCTTATGAACCAGCAAATCGAATAAAAAAATCGTCTATTCCGCCGGTTTTCGGGAAATGAGCATCTCACAATCGTTGCTAGCTTTTACTCGTCTCGTTGGCCGATTAATTTGCTTCATAAAACTTTCATCTTGTCATCATTGTGCTTTCTGGTTTTTTGGCAAGCCATGATAAAATCTAAAGAAATCAAGAATGAACAACACGATTTGTGATAGGAACCACCATTCTTGTATACATAAAAAATGGTGGTAAACACGGACTCACTTGCCAAACTGGTTTGGATTGAGATTTTTATCGGGTATCAGGGAACCATGTGATTATAAATTAGATTTGATCAAAACGGGCCAAAACTTGAAATTCAGCCTTATTGACCGACACATGCCAAACTCTAATTATTCTTTACTTTTAAACTTTCTATTTGAAAATAAAAAATAATGAAAGAAAAGAGATGACTGCAATTCGCCATTTGCACATCACTGATTCGGGGAATAAAACTGTAGAATTTTGAAAGAAAACTAAAAATATTTAGGATCGTTTTAATGTTAAAAATAACCAAATAGATATTTCTGTTTAGTTTTTTACTAACAAATACCAAACGATTCCCTATAATATACACTATAATTTAATCATTATGATATCAAATAATTACATAATATATATTTGAAATGATAAAAATTGGACTAATTGGGTTGGTCGAGGTTGAACAATTGAATAACTTTAAAATACATTATATTTTAGCCACTAAGATATAAAATAATAGCATAACATATATTATGCTAGAGAAAATAGTTTGTTTTAGAATGACAAACCCATGATGTTCAAATCCCGTGTAGGTCAGGCCCATTCAATTCTTTTATTTTATGATTAGCGGTTAGCCCATTAGAATCCATGCATTAGTTTTTTTTATGAATAATCCATGCATTAGTTTATTGTTAATTTTTTTTCTTTTTAGCAATAAAAAAGAGTATTGTTTTTGCCTTTTCATATATATTTTACCACCACGGAGAAATAAAAGGACTTAAAGAAAAAATGACACTCCTGGACCCGTTTAAATCCGCATGTGTACGGTAAGTTGACCCGTTCCACAAAGGAGAAAGAAAAAAATTGACACTCCCTATTCTACCCTTCCTACAAACGCTCCTAGAGCAGAGATTTTGAAATAGGGGAAGAGTTTTTTTTCCTCTCTGCGATTATTTATTTTTAATTTAAAAATATACAACAAATGTACTTAGTGTGATTGGTTATGATTTTTGCTTTTCTTTAAAGTGGTCATGGTTCGAATCCTACTAAGTGTCTTTTTAATGAATAAAAAAAAGTAATTGTGAAGACCAAAATGTCCCTCCTACTTTCACTCTGGAAGTAGGAAATTTGAAATCAGACTTCAAGTTTTTTCATTTGGTTTTTATTTATTGAGTAGATATGTCACACACACTTGTAATTCCTTCCCTCCACTCACCTCGCCCCATGTTTCTTTAGACAGTTTAAGATTATAAGAAACACAACAAAAAGAAGAAATAAACCTTTTGATCGTGCCGTCGTTTCCGTAAATTTTCTCCTAAAAACGCTCCCCCACTTTATCCACCAATTTTTTTTATCCCTTCCTTCTTCCTCTCTAATCCTCCCAATAATCTTAATATAAATACTCCCACACCTCCAGAAACCAGTCCAGATCCCAATTCGCCATTTCCCTCTGTTCTTCCTTCCTTCCTTCTTATCCCTTTCTCCTTCCCCCAATAAAAAGACTCCGTCTTTCGACACCAGATTCCTTTTCCCCACACGGGTTTGGGTTATGTCTAGAATGTGGAGATGGAAGAAGCTCAAGGACACCGGCACCACACTCTTCCTCCTCTCTCCTTCTCCACGCTCATCCCGCCCTCCGATCGCCGCCTTCCGCCTTCTTTCATCATCTTCTCCGGCGGCCCGGTACTTCCGATTCTCCCCAATCACCACGCATTTGAACTTCATCAACAGGTACCGTCGCCGGGAGTCGCTCCCCGGGGTTCAGGAGCGCTTCAAATGGGACGGCGGTGAGGGTGGTGGTAGCAATTCGATTGATGGCGGTGATAATAACAGTATCAGGCAGATTAAGGCTGAGGCTAATTGCCCTCGTTGTTCCAAGCACATGGATCTTCTCTTCTCGAACAATCACGGTCGGGGTCTTAACCATCCGCATCATAATCCCAATCTCTCCCCTCCTTCCGATCCTTCTTCTTCTTCTTCTTCTTCTTCTTCTAATCAGAGCGGTAATGGCGGCGGAGGGGATGTGTTACAAGCTGTGAATTACTGCCCCAATTGCAAAACTGCTTACTACTTTCGCCCTTACAGCAATGCTCCGCTACAGGGGAGCTTCTTTGAGATTGGGAGGATCAGCAATGGTAAGTTGAGGAATAAGTACAATTCCGCCAAACATTCCAATAATAGTGGTGAGGGGCAGGATTCTTCGTCTTCCGGGGATTCGGTGACTGCTTCCAATAGCAGCATCAACAAGAGGCTGAGGGCTTCATTCTGGCAGACTCTCCGGTTGTATGCGGGTGACCCACCTGAAAACTGGCCGCCGTTGCCTGCTCCCCCGCCGCCGCCGGCGAATGGGCTGGCTGTGCATACTCCCCCTGGTCCACCATTTGCGCCTGGTGTTAATGTTGTCAGGGCAGCTGGCGGAGGATCGAATGGTGATTCTGTGGAGGGAGAAAAGAGTGGTAGATGGGGTGGGGCTAATCTAGGGAAGGACTTACCAACTCCGAAAGAGATCTGTAAGGGTCTTGACAAGTTTGTTATTGGACAAGACAGGGCCAAAAAGGTTTGTAATTTGCCTTCTATTGCTGTCAATGTCTAGGGGATGATCGCCCTTCAGAACATTCCACTGAAACCTGTTTCCATGGTTTTTACTGGCAGGTGCTCTCCGTTGCTGTGTACAATCACTATAAGAGGATTTATCATGCCTCTCAAAAAGGGTTAGTTGCATTGCCGTGGTCCTGAATAGTCCTACTTATTTTCAGCAAGTTTTCAATCATCTGTCTCTTTCCCATTTTGTTCCATGATATGAACTGAAATGATGATTTCCAATACTAGGTCAGGAGAAGAATCTTCGAGTCCTAATGCAATTGATGATGACGATAATGTAGAGTTAGAAAAGAGCAATGTTCTCTTGATGGGTCCGACTGGCTCTGGTATGAGTTATGCTGTGCATTTGGGGTCCTTTAATATGCTGTGGGAACAAACTGATTTCCCAGATCTTTATATGATCTTCCTGTTCTCAACCTGTTAAAGTCTGATATGAAGGTCTCTGTTCTAACTCTTTTGTGAAATAGGAAAGACGTTGCTTGCAAAGACACTTGCAAGATTTGTGAATGTGCCATTTGTCATTGCAGATGCTACAACATTGACTCAGGCAAGTTTCTTCTGGATAACTCAAAGCCTTTCCCCCCTTTTCATTAGAAAGCGTGAAATAAATTGCATGAGAACATAGAGTTAAAGGCAAGTTGTCTATTGGGTTGCTTCAAATAGCCAAAGTGTTGTGTTATGCAAGGCATTGAAAACACAGTTGGTTGCTGAATTTTGACAAAATTTCCTCTATGCAGGCTGGTTATGTCGGAGATGATGTCGAGTCTATATTATATAAACTTTTAGCGGTATGTTTTCCTTCCATACTTCTCAAGATATTGCAAGAGCCTATTATATTGCTCTTTGAGTCAATTCCTGTCCGTGCTCAGTCTATGTTGGGTAATAATTCCTATCACATTCCGTTATATGATTAGGTAAATCATGGTTAACATGCCTGCTGCTAGTTAAGAGTCTTTGTCAGGCTGTACGGATGGGCCAAAGATACAGCTTTGGACAGAATAAGCATAGTTTGTAGACTAGAACCATAGATTGTACAGAACTTGGTAGGTTGGGGAATTATATGGTACGAGTCGTGTGATTCTGCAAGCTGCCAGGCTCAAGCATGCATGAGCTGTGATTGCTGTAACCACTAACTTCAGGGCCGTCCCATGATATTTGGAGGCCCTGTTCGAAAATTTAATATGTGGCCCCTAATTTTTTTTCTCAATAAATTTATTAAAAATAAAATGTATTAAATAATTATAAAGTACATAAGTTCAGAAAATGATTTCAAAATGAATAAACAATCTCGCTTCCTGTTTGACCAAGAAACCAAGACCAAATTCTCACTCCTAGCAGGGAGGGAGAAAAGTAAATCTAGGACAAAAAATGGATATAGAGCAAAAATTGAATGGAGAAATGAAAATAATATAAATTGATCGAGAGGTGGGTGAGAGTCTATCTAATGGATCGTGTAGGCCCTATTCCAAAATTGAGACATGATCCAAATTGACTTTTAACTATAATAAAACTAAAATGATTATAATACCATTATTCAAAATGTAATATCTTTCTTTATTGTTTAAATTAAAATTATCTATTATCTCTCTGATTTTTGTATTCTCCGTGAGATTCTTTTCAATTGTTATTATAGCTAAAAATATCTATTAAATTCGTCATCATATTCATAATCTATCAATCATACACTAAAAAAACAACCTGCTATATTTGATCGGTAACTAACGAATCTAAGTGGAGGCCCCTAATATTCGGAGGCCCTGTGCCGGAGGGTGGACCGGCACA